TTCAATTATAACTAATAATAATAATAATGATAATTAATCACACACACTCCCGTGTGTAAAATATGGCCGGTTCTAAAACAAACTACCAATGTACAAAGCTGTTCTCCCTCCCCTACCCTGGGCCACCCAAGAGACAGTCAGACTGTGGAAGAACTTTATCCCAGGGGCTTTTGGAGAAGATAAAAATTAATAAACCAACATACAACCCTTGAGATCGTTGTCTTTGGTGTGGAGGACGTTGCTGGTGGGCAGCTGGAGCTGCTCTGCTGGAAATGCTGGGACACTTAAGGCTTGTTGTTGGGACTGCTGCAGAAGCCTCTGTTGGGCCAAGGGTCACGGATGCTTTGGTCGGAATACCAGCTCCTCACACCCCACCATCCCAGTGATGCCAGAGGATCTCCCCACACCCCTCTCTAGATCCCTCCCCCCGTAGCCCCTCCACCACCTCCAGGCCTTTATGCTCTCTTTCGTCTCCCTTCCAGATTTCGGAAGCTGGAGGGTCTCAGCTTCATCTCTGCAAACTGAATGGAATATTCGTGGCCCTTCCAGTGGAACCAGTTAACGCCCTGCGGAGACAAAGGTGAAGCGTGGGAGGTCAGACACTCATTCTTCTCCTGCTGTCAGCTTTTACTGCTCTCATGTCAGGTGGAAGCTGGTTTCTAACTTGGGACCAGAGGCACCACAAAGCAGAGGGGCTTTGAGGAGCACAAGGCTCTGGCCATTGGCATGCACAACTTGTGCCAACAGACCCACGTGCTGGCCCCAGAGTGCTCATGCTGCCTGGCTTTCATGGCAGGAACAACGTCTGTTTCACTTGTTGAAAACTACAATTGCTCCCTGCACACTTGGAACAGATCCTCTGGAAATCGTACAAACCCACTAATATTTCACCTGCTGATAGTAAATTCTTGTTTTATGAGCAACTGGCCACATCTTGCCCTATGATGCTTTGGTCTGGAGAGTGGGCTTGGTTGGTGCTTTGATGTCTGGCTAGATGAATCACCAGATAGACCCATAACTGCAACTCCCCTTCTTCTAATCTGTTATGGAAGTCTTCAAACACAAACTCACCTGACTGTGGCTGTTGTCACCGTATCTGCCCATCAGATTGACTCGGTGACAGTTCTTGTACCAGAATGCACCCTTGTATGACAAAGCACAGTTGGTGATGGCAGAATCGTTGTCCTTGTCAAAGGTGGAGAAGGACCTTCCGTTGTGGTACGTCATGGAGTCACCTGGATGGGGGAGGCAAAAGAAAAAGCAAGGTCAGTGGGTTGACACTTAGCTGGTCCATGCAGTAGAGCTACCCGTCTTCTTCAGCTGGGAACAGAGACAGCAAGATGTCTGCCTGCCCTTGACTTCACACTCACAGGCTCTGGGTGGCCATTTGCAGATGGGTGGAGTAGGAGAAGCTTTCACAGAATCATAGAATTGTTTTGGTTGCAAGAGACCTTGAAGAACACCAAGTCCAACTGTTCCCCCCAGCACTGCCAGATCCCCACTGCCCCGTGTCCCTCACACCACATCTCCACGGCTTGGAAACCTCTCCAGGGGTGGGGACTCCACCACTGCCCTGGGCAGCCTGGCACAGCCCTGGACAACCCTCCAGGGGAAGAAATTGTTCCTCAGCTTCAAACTTAGCCTCCCCTGCTACAGCTTGAAGCAGTTTCCTCTTGTCCTGTCTCTAGTTCCTTGGAAGAAGAGCCTGACCTCCACCTGGCTCCAACCTCCTGTCAGGAGCTATGCAGAGCCAGAAGGTCTCCCCTGAGCCTCCTTTGCTCCAGGCTCAGCACCCCCAGCTCCCTCAGCTGCTCCTCCCCACACTTGGCCTCTAGACCCTTCCCCAGCAGCTTCATAGCCCTTCTCTGGCCACGCTCCAGCCCCTCCAGGTACTTCTGGGAGTGAGGGGCACAAAACTGACCCCAGGATTTGAGGTGCAGCCTCCATAGTGCCAAGTCCATGGGGATGATCCCTGCCCTAGTCCTGCTGGCCACACCAGTGCTGACACAAGCCAGGATGCTGGTGGCCTTCTTGGCCACCTGGGCACACCGTGTGTGCCTAAAGCAGAGCTCACATTCGTGCCTTAGTAGCTGTATTGCTCCATCCATTAATCTTAGACCTGAATGCTTAGGAAGAGAAAATAGTAGGATTGATTCTTACAAGCTGTAGCAGCTACCACTGCTCTGCACCAGAGTCTTTGTCTTAAATAGACATTAAATAAACATTAATTCTACTACTGCTGCATATCCTCTGTCTGTATCCCTACAGGCTGTGCATAAAGTTCATGTACTGGTCACAGGGCAGAGTCCACACACACATCTCTATGCTCCTAGCAGCATGAATTACCTCCTTTTAAGACAACTCGTGAATCAGGATTCATCTTTTCATCTGTTGAAGCCCCAAAGAGGACTCAGTAAGGGCTGCAGGGTTTGACCCAGGATTACAAAAGGCAGATGATTTGTTCAGCAAAATTACAAATGTTAGAGCAGGACTTTGCTGCATACTGCACCGACAAGAGACGAGGCTGTGCCAAGCTATTATTATCTGTATAAGTGACAGTCAAGCACTGGGCAATTGAGATATATGGCCCTTTAATATACTTGCTTATATTCTATCATAAGCATGCTATAAAATGTGGCACCGAAATGACTGGAGGATTTAAAATGGAAACATAAACTATACTGAGATGTTCATCCTTTCAAACACCTGACATACAAGAGGTACCTGCTGTGAGGCTGATCTGCAACATCCACACAGCTACCTTGAGCCAATAGGGAGCAAACTACAAGTCAGAATTAAAACAGACTGTTTCAGCTCACCTGCTGTGCCACTGTACCCGTCCACTCTCAGCCGGTACCTGCTCTTCGCATCTCCCACGCTGAACCTGTCGTAGACAGCATAAGCTGTCTCACCTTTGTCCTGCAGATCCACACGCAGCTCGTACTGGCCCTGAGAAGTGATTTTGTGGAGGTTCTCCAGACCTGGGGACATATATGAACAATTCATTTGTCTCCCCGTGTTCTTTTCTCTACCATGGTGTTGTCCCACAGAGGGGGTGATGCTGGCGTGTGCAGGTACACCAGGGCAGGGACACTGGTGAGCAAAGTGACCAGTTCCAGTTGTAGGTAACATCAGCACAAAACCAAATAGATAAATCTGGTCCCTCTGACTGAGAGACCTCCTCCCTTCAAATCACATTTGCAGGCAGCCCTTTGGGAAAAGCCATCAAAGCTGTGCTGTGGGACCATCACTGTCTTTCATTGACAACCAATCAAAATGTAGCACAGACTTTGAAAATGTACTTTTTCCTTCTATTTTCCATATTTTTCTTTGAGTCACAGGCTTTTTTTTTGCTGGGGGTGTTCTAGGAGTACAAGAGGGAGAACGTTTGGAGCTGCTTCACAGGATACCTTCTGCCTTCTTACAGAGCACTGGTTTGGAATGCTTGGTGACCCAAGAAGAGTGACATCTATGAACTGCAACTGGAGGGACTGGCTTGGACCTGTCATTTTGACCTCCCCTGCCAAAATGTAACACAGACTTTGAAATGTGCTTTTTCCTTCTATTTTCCACATTTTTCTTTGAGTCACAGGCTTTTGTTGCTGGGGGTGTTCTAGGAGTACAAGAGGGAGAACGTTTGGAGCTGCTTCACAGGATACCTTCTGCCTTCTTACAGAGCACTGGTTTGGAATGTTTGGTGACCCAAGAAGTGTGACATCTATGAACTGCAACTGGAGGGACTGGCTTGGACCTGGCATTTTGACCTCCCCTGCAGCATGCTGTCCCCAGCCTCCTGTGCCCAGCCTACGTTCCCCTTGCCAACTAAACAGAGGCTTCCAAGTGGCTCCTTGTCTTTTGGGCTGTGCTGTATTTTCTTTTCAAAGAGATGAATTCTTGCCATTACCTATCCAGAATTCATCCTTAGGATCTCCAAAGCCAGCCACGTAAGTCTTCCAGTTCCTGTAGAAATCTTCCTTTCCGTTTTGACGCCTGAGGAACACCTACAACCACCACAAGCAAAGAAGAGTTATGGGCAGACTGCCTGTGACAGAAGGGACATGAGCAATGGGGCTTTCACAAATGCAGAGCTCTGCTGCTCAGAATCCAGACATGATGGGGTTGGAAAGGACCTCTGAAGATCCCCTCATCCAAGCCCCCTGCTCCAGCAGGGACACCCAGAGCAGGGTGTTCAGTATGGTATCCAGGTGGGATTTGGGTCTCTCCAGGGGAAACTCCACAGCCTCTCTCAGTAACCCCTCCACAACCTCTGCTCCCCTGCCCTTACCCCCAGGCAGCATTCTCACTGTAATTACTGAATTGCACCAAGACTGTTGAGTGCTTCTTGCTTACTTTAAGTCTCTAGTTTCTCTGCTGGGTTCTCAGGCTCCCCTGCAGGATGTGGCCTTCTAGTTCCTGCTCTCTCTTTTCTCTAACAGCCCCTTGCAGTTCTGTATTTCTCAGCCAAGACTTTCTACATCCCCTTGTCTCCCAGCCACACATTTCTCTGGGTCCTTCTTCCTTTGCCTTGTGTCCCTCTGGCATGTTCAGATTTGAGGGTGTCAGAACAGAGACATTTTTTATGGCATTTTCATTGCCACTCATTTGTTGTCTGGGTGGGATGTGTCCCTTGTAGAATGGCCTGGGAAGCCTGACCACCATGCCATGTGGCTGCTGAACAAATGCTTTCTCTGGCCTGTGCTTTAACCTCCTTCACTGTCTCTCTCAAGCAAATAGAGTTAGTCCACATTCCTCTCACCTAATTAACATTTAGAAGGTACATATCTGTTCTAAGATGGTCATTTTGGCATCTGCCAATGATCGGCACATTTCCTAGGTGGTGAATCCACTGGTGTGATCCACCCCTTGGAGACACCTCTCTTTTCTCCAGCTACAGAATGAGCTGGTAACCTGGTTCTAGGCACCTGGGTGTCCTATTTGTGATAAAATTCCCCAAAGTTATAGACAATTCAGCCCTGCTCCAATAATGCAGCACAATGAGGGATGCCACGGATGACAGTTGAGTGGTTAGGGAAATGTTGGGATGAAGGTTGAACTTGATGATCCTAGAGGTCCTTTCCAACCATAGTGACTCTATGAGAGGGATGGGATCTACTCCCCCAGCTCTTGGCACAGGCAGATACATCTGAGGGGGGGGTGGGCCCTTCTCCCTTTGACTCACAATCCATCCACCTCCATCTTCACTCATGTCACAGAAGACTTGCAGAGGCTGAGCCTTGTCCCCATTCACGTAAACTGTGTAGAGCCCAGAGGTGGTTTCTCCATTCAGGAGAGCCTGGGAGCAGTCTTTAGGATAAGGATAGAGAAGACCAGCTGCAGGCAGACAGAAAAACAGAAAGCAGTCCTTAAGAAATCAGCAATTACAAAGAATTTGTTGAATGCAGATGGCTCATGAAATCTATTGTGGATCAATGGCACAGGCAGGTACAGTGCCCAGGAAAGGGCTTGTAATTGCTGTCCTACCTACAAAAGATTCCCAGGAAACAGCAGATTGTGTAAATGTTTCTTTTGAAGATTCTTTTGCATGCCTCTACCCTTTTGAAAGAGCTGTGAATGCCAGATAACTGCTCCCTGCTGTGGTGGGAGAGCATCCTCCAGCTAAATATCTAATTTGTATGACCTGCGTTTACAGCAACTTTTGGGTAAAACCAAATATACCTGTATCTGATTACAAGACAAAAAAGGGAGAAGGAAATACAAAGACAGGACTACAACAACAATAAGACATATCTGGAATATTTTGCTACCAAGTACAATATTAAATATGTTAGAAAATGAAGCTTTTAAAAAACAAAGCAGACAATGATAGTTACAACTGTGAGGAAATGTCATTAAGCATTTCTTTCTGCAACAAGCTAATAGCATCCCTGCAGTCAGAACAATTTCTAAACCCCCCAAAAGCTTTTCTTCCTTTAGAATTCACTCAGGCCATTAACTTTTTCAACCAATGGTCTAAGTGATGCTCTAGGTGTGTCCACAGGAGAGTTTTGAACAGTGGCTGCTCACAGAGTGTCTGCTGCTCCCTTTCCAGTGTGTTGAACATCCCTCCCTGTGCCTCAGCTGCAGAGAATTTGCATCAGCTTTGGGATTTGGAGAAAATTGGCTTTTTGGAGGGAGCTACTTCAGTGTTTCCCTCTCACTAAATGGCACACAAATGTATCTTTAGAATTAAGGCCAAGCTTAAGCATCTTCCAGAAGGAGGCTGACACTGGGTTTCTATAGGCAAAGGCACCACATCCAGTTCCTGCTTAGAGTCAATTTGCCAAATGTCACTGAAATACACCCAGATTTAACTCTTCTCCTATTTCTGGTTGTGGATAGTCTCCTGTTGGTGGAGTTCATCCTGCTTTACACAAGGAGTGACTTTCATTAGCACTTCTGTGAGTCCTTGGGCTGAAGTTGGTATGAGTGGCAGAAGGGAGAATGGAAACGACTGAAAGTCCTGCTGGGTCTGAAAGGGCTGGAAACTATGAAAAGTGGGGAAAATGACAGACAAGGTTTCACAGCTAATACTGAACAACAGCTTCTTTTTTTTTTAACATCAGCTGTGAAGCGACCTTCAGAGAATCCAAATTCTTCTTGCATTCAGCTCACGGGAGACCTGTCCTGTTATAGAGCTGAGCCAGACACCACATGTGGCTTTGTGAAAACCCATCTCAGAAAAAGAATTAAAAAAAAAAATGCCCAGAAGTGCATCTCCTTGGACCACTGAAGTGATTTGTGTGTGTGTGCCTGGTTTCATTTCGACTCCAAACACTGATTTGTTTGAACAGCTTGCTATGCATCATAGGGAGCGAAATTAGGGGGTCAGTTTGGGTTTTAAAGATCAATGTTCCTTTCAATATTTTGCATGGGAAAGGCAGAGTGTTTATCAGAGAGAGGACTATAGAGGTGATGTGGATGGATATAAAGAAAAGAATTTCATCCTGCCAGTCTTGTGAAAGTAGATGACACTACAGCTCAAGGCAAGGGGGATTCTGCAGCAACACTACAAGCAAATGAAGTGCATACTGGCAATTGGATTAAAACCCTTCTATGAGGTCTGTGTCTGCTTATTGCAGAGCTCAACGCTGTCCTGAGAGCAGTAACTTGTATGTTAGTTCAGCTGTACACGTGCTCTAAGGTCCTTACTTGTGGTGAAAATCGTCTGGATTGTTTTGCTCTTCAGGGATCTGTTCAGTGCCTGGAGTTTCACCGTGTACGGGGTAGATGGGCTCAGCTCTGTCAGGCTGTAGGAAGTTGTCTCAGGGTTTAGGATGAGTTCCTATGGGGAGGAGAAATAATACAGGGAAACCTCAGTGAGAAAATTGGACCAGAACTGTTATACCTTTCACTTTGTCACATTATTTTGGGGGGTAATTATTTGTGGTATTTTTAAACACCTAAATTATGTAATACAAAACTTCTATTCCTCTAAGATCTTTATCAAGATAACTGTCTTCAGAAATTCAAGAAAGGTCACCTGAAAATGAATATTTATCACGATGTATAAGCTGTGTGGTTTCAAAGCAAGGCAGCAGAAACATTTACATGCCTTAAACATACACATTGTATAGATGTCTCTATGAAACTATAAAAAAATTGGGACATTTTGTCCTATAGGACAAGGAAATACCATACTCCAGTCTTCAAAAGGCTCTTTTTCTTTAACTTTAAAAGACTGATTTTCAGTATGCTTAGGGAATTTGCCTTCTTGATTATCAGAGCCCTTTCTGATGTACCAGCCTGGGCATTCAAAACCTCTCTGCCATTTTTGCTGGGATTCACCTCATTCATATTTAAGCACAGTTTAATCAAGTTACACAGGACCATAATAAAATTATTGGAGAGCAAGAGGTACTTCCAAAGGCCTTAGACACCTCACTTGCCCAGGGGTGAATTCTCCTGAGTTTAGAGAGTCCCATTCTGTGGGGTGTGTGAGTTTATTCCACGATACAGGTTTGGAACCAGGGGAAATGGTTGTTTGTGCTTTGATAGGTATTGTGGAGAGATGACTGTCAAAATTCAGGCTGCAATTGAGCTTCTGTTTCAGGATATAATATCAGAAAGTACTTGAGCACATTTTAAGTGTGTTTAAGTGAGCACTGAAATAGGTACTCAGTGTTTTACCACATTTAACTTGAGGCACATTGAGCAATGTTCCATTGCTGGACACTTCAGAGCATCTCTACTGCCCCATTTTGAGTCATGGCCCTTCTGGTTTGGTTACAAGTGCTGTACCTTGACTTTGCCATCAATGGACTCGTAGATGAGGAGATAACCAGTGACAGGAGCACGGGGAGGCCTCCAAGTTATCACAGCTGTTTCTGACTGAACTTCAGTGGCACTTAAATCTCTTGGAGCATCCAGTCCTGAAGGAGGCAACAGATCAATTACAACCACAATCACATCTGCATGGAGTTTAATACACAGGCTATTGCATGGGCAGTATATTAAAACAGGTCAGAAAAGGCAATGTTTTACCCCAAGAAATTTGATATTAAAAATATTTCAACCTTTTATTTTGTGTTAAAAAAGTATTTTTTCCATTGGAAGTTTTCAAATAAAAGTATTTACTTTATCTGTGTTAAAATATTGGCTTGTCTTGGGCACTTTAGATTGTAAGTAGTTGCATTGAAATGTCTTTTCAAACAGAATTGGGCCTTCCATGAATTCACAGAAGATGACAGAAGAGTATTTATGTATTCCCAGGAAGAAAAACTTTGGTTCCAATGATGCCTCTTTTGAATAGGAAGACTTTTCATACTTGGCCTGGCTATAGTTTCCCTTCTCCACTGTAATTATAACATGGAATTTGTATGGCTCAGCTCTTGGTTCTCCAGTTAACAACCTGGGACAAGTGAAGCAGCAGTCAGGATAATTAGAAACATCCAGGATTTCACTGATGCTAATGGAATGCCATAAATATGAAAGCAGCTGGATACCTTCAGCATTGGTAACCCAGCATCAGTCCCCAGAGAAGAGCTCCTGCTTTGTGTGAGAACCTGTAGAACTGGTGACAGAAAACCACCCTCTGGGTCCATCACACCAGCCTTCCACCAGAGAAAATCTGGTGCAAATACTATTGAAATTCAGGTTTCTAATTAAACAAGTACTATGTGCTGGCTGTCTTTGAGGTAGTGGAGAAATGTAAGGCAGGTGGGACTGGAAGAGGTGGCAGCTCTCCCCACGGAGGGGTGGGACACAGCACCTGTAGTGAACTGGGTGGAGAGGCTCTCGCTCTGCTGTGTGTCCTTCAGGGCGTGGACTCTCAGGGTATATTCAGTTGCAGGTCGAAGGCCCTTCAGGTCATACTCCACAGTGTTTCCTGATACCATCTGAGTAACCTCTGGTTCTAAGAAGAAAACACAGAAGAGAACAGGTCCCGGCCTCATTCAGCTGTGTCATCGTGCACTCAACTCCACGTTCTACTCAGTGATAAAATTCTCCTAGCTGGGAGCAAGTGTGAAAGGCCAGAGCACATCTCTCTGCACACACCTACGCTGCACATGAATTAACACGAGTCCCTTATCTAAAAGTATTAGCACTCTCTAGTGTTCAGATGAATTATAACACCATTTTTTTCCCAAGCATCTCAGTTTTCTCTGCTCGTGTCTGACTTGGGAATGCTCAAGTGAAATGATCATTTTTAAATTGCTTCCAGCCAGGCACCTCCTTGAAATAGCATCCCCCTGCTCTCCTCCTGGAGTCCCATTGCTGCACCCATTTCTGAGCAGCTCCCGAGAGCTGTGAGGCTCCCTAACCCAGCACTAATTCTTCTTACCATCCTCAGAAGCATAGGAGACAACGTAATTATCCACAGCAGCAATTGCTGGCTGCCAGGTTGCCAGAGCCTCAGAGTCCGTGATGTTCACCACCACTAAGCCTGACGGGCTGTCCAGAGCTGAAAGAGAATAACAGAGTGAAGGAATTTGATAAACATTCTCAGCTCTGTGCAATGTTCTGTTGTAAATATATGGTCTAAGACGTGCAAACACTGCTGCTGGATGCAGCTTTTATGATTCCCTTTGGAATAGGGGAGCTCTGTAGAAAAGACACCAGTGCCTATAAAGAGACGTCAAATGCCACTGCTGGAAAGGGAGGTCAATGAGTGAAAAGATTAAACACTGGGAACAGACATAACTAACTCTGTTCTCAGATCAGTCTTGATATCATCAATCTTAATGGCTCTGTCAGAGATGACATATTTCTCTCAACACCCCCAAATCTGGACTGCTTTTTGGAGCAAACTCAGGAGACAGAGCTGGGAAAAATAATAATGTGACAGCAACTGATAGCTGTGGTGACCTTCCACCAGCTTGCCCAGCCTGTTTAAAAATAAGCCAATCAAACAGCCAGCCAGCCACCCAAAATCCCCATGTGTCCTGCCTTGCTTCTTCTTGGGACTCTCTTTTGCACAGAGTTTTGTCCTCTCCCTGAATTGGGATTTGCCTCCAGTAGAGCTGCAATGGCCTATAGATGTCTTGTTATTATCTAATACTCATCATCTTGTTCATGTCTCAGTCCTCTGAATACTTGTCAGTCCCTCAAAAAAAGAATGAGCCTGCAGGGTAGGGCCAGCAGGAGCAGAATGGACCCTCATTTCCTGCAGGGAAATTTAAAGCTGTACTGAAGGAAAAATAGGAGAGAGAATTTTTCCATGCTTTTTATGGTCCAGACACAGTCTGGAACCTGGGAAATATGGAGCTTGAGTCCACCACAGGAACTGGTCTGAACTGCTCAGAGGTTCCTTTGTTCCCTCATTTGTAGAATGGCATTACCTAAACTTGTGGGGATTTTCTGATGTATTAGGACTGTAAATACACAAATTGTATCTGTCTCATTACAAATTGATTCAGCACTTAGCAAATGGGAGCCTGATCAAACTCACAGGTTCTATACTCATCTGAGATGCAAAGACACAATGAAAGAGGGGGCAAGAAACCTCCTACTGTTTGTGTGGACAAGAAAAAGGGTCTCTCTGAGGGTCTGCAGGTCCAGTTCCTGAATCTCTCCTGCAGCACAGACAATGCATTTGAAGTCCTACTATTTTCTTTTTACATCTTACCTGTTTTCAGGGTGCCAGAGATTGGTTCACTTTCTTCAAAGCCTTTCACAGAGATGATACTAACGTTGTAGTCTACGCCTGGGACTAATTTCACCAGCTTGGTCCTTGTCTTGCTTCCATCGACAGTAACAACATTTGGAGTGCCTGGAATGAAGCCAAATGCCAAGAGATTAGTGACACAATACTCCAGAACATGCTTGAAGGATACGTTTCAAGTTAAAGACATTATGACCAACCTGGATGTACTTGTACAGGAGGAAGTGAATTTGCCCCTGTTAGTTATAATTGCCAATGTCAGTGGGCAGCCTCAGGAAAAAATATTACTGTCATGACACCTAAATCTAAGATATTTTTGTATTCATTCCTAGTGGTATGACAACAGTAAAAAAAAAAAAAGAACATTTCTGTTCAGAAAGCTATAATTTTACAAATGAGATGTCAGGCAAAAACACAGCACTCTTTACATGGACGTTTATACACCTCTGAGGGCAGGACTTGCAGTTTAGATCTGCTTTGTTTCTGGTAAGGGCTGGAATTTTCTCCTTCATCCATCTTCTTTTGAACAAAGATATAGTATAAACTATTGTAAGAGGTGCTGCATGTGTGGGTGAGGACCTAGGTCACATATTGGTTTCAAATTCAGGGTTTATTCCAGGAAAACACATAGTCAAATGCCCAATTTTATGATTGTGGATTGATCCTTTCTTCGGTGGGATCACAGTATATTTAAAGTTGCATGTTGTATCATCTAAATCCCTATATCTTTACTTCTCTTAGTCAACAGCATGTCTTTTATGGTCCTGATGTCTGCGAGGGAATGTTTGCTCTTTAGCTGTTTACTTTCAAAGCTGTCTCTAAGTTATGTTAAAAATCTGTTTAATTACAGGAAGTTTTTTAAGCTGAACAATAAACCAGAGATATAATGGATGGAATGAAATGACACTGGGGAGTAGTAAGAAGAATCACTGCCTTGGAAAACTATTACAACCAAGGATTATGATTATTATTTCCAAGGGCCATCATTACAAATATGTTTAGGTCGTAAAGTGCCCACAAAACAAAGAGAGAGTTTGGAAATAAATCCTTACTTAAGAGGCTCAGTGGGAACTGAGTTTTTTGTGAATGTGGCCCTGTTCAGGGTACAACCATTCCAGGATCTAGGTCTGAGCTCCCTCACAGGCCCTGTCCATGTGCTGTGGGACGCTACGTCCAGTCAGAGGTTGGCTGTTGGGACCATGTCTGCACACCCATGATCCTGCTCAGCAGTTTGAAGAAAAAAGCGATGGTCTCTATGAGATGAGCTGAGAGATGTGTCTCCACACAACAAATCCTTTCTGTTCTCCCTTTTGCCATCTTCCTCCCTGCCCCTCCTTGCTGTCACTCACCTCCTGTGACAGGGACGTAGGAGATGCGGTAGCTCTCCACACGGGCTCGAGGGGGTGTCCAGCTGACTGAGGCAGAGTTCTCCGTGATGTCAGAGAAGGAAATTCCCTTGGGAGATCCAACAGCTGTCCGTGGAGAACAGAGAACAAACACACCACACAGAAAGAAAAGGGAATTCATTTGTCCATCTGTCCTCAGAACACTGACCCGAGAGCTGATGATATTGATATTCTGTCCTAAACAACACTAATTCTGGGAGTACCAAACAGTTAATAACTTTATTATGTACTGACAACAATGAAATCTTTGGTCTAAATTGACCTTTCTTAGTAACATTACAGTGGTGCACAGCTTAAAAACACTCCAGCCATTCCTCTATATATCATGTACATAGAAGCAGCAGAGATTTCAGTATTACAGAAAAGTATGGAGGAATACTTACAGGAATAACATTCTATTACCCAAAAGTCATTATATTTATAATATTTTTTTTCTAAGCCAGTTTCACTTGGATGAGTTTTAGACTTTCCATTGAGTCTCAGAGTCCCATCTGTGACAGTCCTTCACAACAGATCTCTTCCTGAGCATAAAGTTTGTTTCCACTATAGGACGCTTTAAAAAGACCTGGACTCAGGTGCATGAGTCCATCAAGGGTCCATCCTCTCAAGCACTGATTCCCTGTAACTTCTGTTGACTTCAAACTAGAAATGACAAGGTTTTATTCTTGGAATCTCTATCTGAAACCATGATTTTGTGTAGGTACATTCAAGCACATCCATCCAGAGGACATCCAAGTACAACCAACATGAGGAAGATACATGTTCTGCTGAGATTTCCTGTCATATGAGCCAGCCCTTCCCTGTAGAAACCTAAGCACTACATTTGTCCACTTAATTAGATTGGTAAGCTGGGCAAACAACGCCCAAGTTTTGCCAAAACAACCCAATCTTATGACTGGGTACCTGAAACACGTATCTGAAACATTCCAGTTTAAAGCTTAATTAAGTTACTGCAAAACAAGCATGGAAAGGGCTTCTGGAAGGACATGGTAAAGAGACCACTTCAAAGTTTACATTGAGCATCTCACTTCCAATTTCCTTTTTTGACTGTAACCAAAACAACCCTGATGTGTTAAAAAAATAAACAGCCCACGCAGAGGAGGCCATTAGCACAAAGAGGAGAGATACCAAACATCAGCCACATCAAGAGCAGTGGAGACAGGTTAAGGGCAGGGGAAGGGGGGCAAGAGGAGAAAAAAAAAAAGCAACTGTGCTTGAAATAGCTTGGAAAGAACGTGTCTGCGGGGAAGGAGTCAGAGAGCTGTTTGTTCCATGTGTCCCCAAAGCTCCAGCAGCAATGCACTAAATCAACCAAAGGCAAGGAAAGAAAAACAACTGAGCTCTCAAGAGAAACATAAATTATTTCTCTGGAGCTTACTAGACGTGTTGCGTTTGTGGGGTTTGCTCACAGGGAAAAGCCAAAGAAAGAAAGAAAAGAATTAAAGATAAAGGAAGAAAGGAAAGTGGAGATAGTAAAGCTACAAGGCACACAAAGTTGCTACTGATTTATGTACAGTCTGAAGGGAACAGAAGAGCGTAAAGAAAAGAGAGAAGAAAATCACATGGATTTTGTTTCACATTGGGGGTACCCCTCGTGACTGGTGAAAAGTGCTACAAGTGGTGACCAAAGAAATGGACCAGCACATGGTTTTCCTACACATGGGGAATTCCAGCCTTTCCAGAAAAAGAAGTACCCAATCCATCCCACTGGGACTCTGCTGTCCATACTTCCATGGGCTCCATGCTTGTTCTCTGCACCACATGAACTGCATAATAAACAGTAGTGAGAGCCTTGACTACGTGAGAGTTCCACATCCTGAAGTACCCCAACTGCAGGTACTTTCCTGGGAGCAAACCTGGCAAAGAAAGTGTAACAGAGCATCGAAGCAAGCGTCAGTCCTGCAATGAGTCCCAGAGATGTAAGAGTGGCACCTTTCAGCACAGCAAAAATAAAAAGGAGCAAATGAAACCATCTTCTTCAGCTACCTGAAAGCCAGAATTAAGCAGGCATAAAAAATAGCCAGCGTGTTTCTGTCTTGTCACTCATAAAAAAAGTGAGTTCATTCGTTGGATAGATATAAGGGATTAGCATTATCCTCCAGCATCATTCCCCAGTAGCTGTGTGAGAGATGGAGAACTCTCCTGGGAGGTTGTTAAAGCACCCACGATACCTGAGTAGCTGCTACTCTTTTTTTTTTTGTTTCCTTGGGTTTTTTTTGCTAAAAAACATATTCCTTCATTGCTAACAGGCTGTAGGAATACGCTGACTGTCTTTGTTTTCTTAAGAACAGGAAGCAGAACAGAAGAATTTCCAAAAGACACCAACTGTCCTGAGAGCAGTGGACAATTCCCTTGTGCCAGCTTCATTGGACACTGCAGATCTGTGTGATGCTGCTGTGCACTGCAGTGATTTTATAATGGGAGTTTTCTATCACAGGAGAACTGAGAAAGGTAAAATGACAGACAAAGGCAGAGGGCAGGGATAGTGGGTACCATCATCACCCCAAAGAGGGGAATATTTAACAGCTTTACCATCAGCAGCTCTGAGGGAAAACTAGTGCCATTCATTGGTACATACCAATAAATAATAGAGGAAGAACTACTTGTGATGTGTGTGGGAAAAGATGGGTTCACTGAGAGAGTGGTGAGGCACTGGAACAGGCTGCCCAGGGAGGTGCTGGAGTCACCAGTCCTGGAGCAGTCCATAAAATGAGTAGATGCAGCACTTGAGGCTGTGGTTTGGTGATTAGGGAGATGTTAGGATGAAGGTTGGACTTGATGATCCTAGAGATCCTTTCCAACCAGAGTGATTCTGTTGTCAACTCCCACACCCAGCGGTTTCACAGCACACTCACAGTGTGATGGGAACAAGGGAGATGGTGTCAGCCTCTGGGCAAGTTGCCAGCTACAGGACCAGTACAGGCAACATGGAGAAATGCAAATTCCAGTCCTCCCTTGCTCATCCTTCCAAATCCCAAGCCCATGGCTGTCACTAGATAAATGCCTCACTGATTTCTTCTTAAAAGAGAATAAGGAAAGGAAACCACAGAGGAGGACAAGGCAGCAAAGGTGAACGTCGCAAGATCTTTCCTCCCCCTTCTTCCTTATGGCCAGTGGGTGGTTTGCTGTACAGACCCTGGCAATGCTCAGATTCCCTCAACTGCACCAATTACACCAGCTGAGGACCTGATCCCTGAAGACTGCCCTTGTGTGCACAAGGGGATGTGCCCAGGTAGGGCAGAAAGGGGAAGCTCTGAGTGATAATTACAGAGAAGGATTTTCAGCCTGGATTATTTTCCTGCCTTAATTTTCATGGTAGTGTTTGGTTGAGGTTTGCTGGTTTGTTTCCTAGCCTTGTTCCAACTGTTATTTTACTATCAACTCCTCTACTAAAGCTAAAGACTTCCTAGGTAATTTATTCCTTGCTCACTTGTAACTTGTACACAGGCCAGAACAAAGCAAGGCTGAATATAAGCCTGTTTGAGCTACCCCCTTCAGGGATAGAAATATTTCTTTGGAACCAGACTGGAAATGCTATAAATATACATATGTTTGTGTAATAATCAACTCCTAAAAAAGAAATCAGTTAGATGCCTTAGCAGCCTGGTGGCCCAATGTGGTGTAACCTCCAGTCTGAGTTATTTAGCTGGATTTTTGTGGCTCCAGCTCTATTATCAATTATCCATGGACTATTTACATCTGACAAACATCTTTTGGGCTACTGGCTTCAGTAGGTGACATGTGCTAAATCTCCTTGAAAGAACTGAATAAGAATGTAGTCATGAGGAAAATGATAACTCTTGGTGGTTTACCATAAATATCCTGGAAGTCAGTGAAAATGGAGACATGCTGCTAACAAGCACAGCTGACTTTAAACATCCCTCTCCATTATCAGTCAACCTGCATGAGTCTGGAGAATGGTGGCTTGTGATGGATGCATGTTCTGCTTCATGTAAATGTCTGGCTGAGTGTATATATGCCCTGGCTGTTTATTCAAGGGATGTGATGGCAGTCGGTGGAGCTGGTCAGAAATGTGCCTTTCCATGCTAACAACTGGCAGCAGAGACGTCAGGGTGAATCATGAGGCCAGGCTATTTCAGGAAAAGCTGTTCAATACTGAGTTACTCGTGTCCCTTTTCTGTGTGTTGGCTGGAGTACACTGCTACACCCCAGCAAACACCTCTTTTATGAATTTCTGGTGCCTTCCTCACACACTGACTTTACCTTTCCCCTTCTTGTTCACCTCCTCACAGAATTAGACCAAGCTGAAATTATTATGTTTTCATATAGGCAAACTCTTTTTAAAAAAGCTAATTTGGGTCACATGAAATTGCTTTGTTGGCTTTAGATGTAAATATCTTTCAAAATGATACTGCAATTTTAGTGGAAAAAAATTAAGAAGTTTCATTTGAAATTGCTAAAATGAAATGCTTTAAATGATAAACTGTTTGGTTTTTTTTTTTTTTTGTTAAAATTAGTCTCAGGAATTCAGTCTAAGTCTTGAGAACTTTTCACTTGAATAATAACTGATTTCTATGATTTTCATAGATAATAAGTGATTTCTATGATTTATCTAGAAAAATAATGTAAGACATTCCAGTTGCATAGAGCAAAAACTTCCTTCTCTCCCTGACACTGAGAAAATGATGCTGTGATTTTGCACAAAACTCAAGTTTCTTTTGAATTATTGAGCACACATTACTCTTGTTAAGATCACTTTAAGTTAATGGTGCTTGATCCTTTGCTGATCAAGCCATACATAAACCTCTCAATAGCTCTAGTAAATTCATTTTGTCCTACCTCTTTTCCAGGGAGGTAAATTATTGTGGAGTGGTGATATGTAATTAGTCCCAGGAAATCACTAAAACAGGCTGATAGAGAAAGAGGAGCTCTTGGCTCTCAAAACCAGTGCTTTAATTGCTAGACTCTGCTGCCTAATTGCAGATCATGAAAGCAATTAAATAAAACCATATTAAATAGACAGCGATGATGCTAAGGAATCTGAGATGACTGATTATAAATAACTAGATCCCAGTGAGCTTGGGTGAGGGACATGCAGGAGACCTTTTGAACACCTCAGTAACAGCCCAAGCTGGCTATGAAAAGAAGAGATGCTGAAAGAAAGAGGCATGAACACGTTACACTTTTTTGCTTCGAAGACAATACCTGTGGTTGCTACTGCATTTATGGGTTGGGAACGCCGTCCACTGCTAACTCCATAGAGCTCAATTTCATACTCAGTGCCCTCTTTCAGCCCTGCTATATCCTGGGTGCGCTCATGGCCTGGGACTATTAGTTCCAGCGGATCGGATTTCCTCTTGGTGTCCCTGATTTTTAGAACAAAACTGTCGAAAACCCCATCATCTGCAGTCCAGGACAGACGGAAGCCATCTGGAGTGGCATCTGAAACCAGGAGGTTGTCGACCTCAGGTTCTGCTTCTACAAAAGGAGAAGATAGCAGCAGGGAAAAAAAAAAATGATTTTTAATCGGTTCATTAGAGACCTGCCCGAGGTCTGGATACAGCACACTGCAAGAATCCAACCACAGTTCATAGAAAGGAAAACAATCTGGCAGCTATTGAAAAAAAAAAAGAAATAAAAGAATATTAGCATTATACACATACTGAAGAAGATATATGTGAGTGTGTGCATTCAAACTTTCACTCTTTTATAGCAAATCCACTGCACGAACATACACCGTCTGCCTCTGACATGCAAAGTTCCACATGCTAGGAGTAAGTTTTATGTGCATTTCTCCCTTGCTACCTATGTGAAACCTTCATCTACAGTAAAAACAAGCTCTTGTTACAGAACTTCAGGCATGCCTGTAATATTGTCAGGTCTCTCTCTGTTATGAGGACAACACAGAAGCCACTTGAAAGAGTCTTTTTCTTCATGCAGACCCCTTATTTCATGCACTTCTGGCATCTGTGATGCTTCTGATCTGATGAATCTTTTACTTTGATATTAAACAAATGCTGAAGCAGAAAAGGAGGATCTGAAAATTCATCTCCCTTAAAAAGCACACTTGAAATCCAAATGAAAGACCTACTGTCTTTAGTGAAAGAACCCATTCAAGAGAATCCCAGGAGCTGTAAGTTATTAATTACCTGCAAAAGATCTTTAGCTCAGTATGGTCAGGCATCATTACCTAGAGAAATGCTTCTGGAGTGGTTACTATCTTACACCACCTCCAGTGCACTTCTTCCTTCCACAGAAAGACATTCCTGTTTATTTTCTGGTGAACTTCCAATCAGGTAACCCCCAGCTCTACTGCTGCATAGTCAGCACCAGGCAAATGAGACTTGATGGTTATGGGGCTAGAGAATCAGTCTGCAATGATTTCTCAAGAAAGCTCAAATGTTGCTGGAAAACAACAGCTATGATGAGGTTGAAAACATGAGCTAAGGCTTTCTGGAAAGAGATGCCAGCTTTATGGGTGGCAATGAGAGCACTCAACGGTCTGCGGGTGGAACCCACAGAGAGAGTGAAAGAAAGGAGGCCACGGGTAAGAAATCCATGACTCCTCCTGAAGGTCCTGACAGTTGGCAGGTTGGAGAACACCAACGTGCCCAGCAGCTGTTAATGAGTTCCCACATGCAGCCAGACTTCTTTAGAGGCTTTGGTTAGAAGTACCTGCATGACCATTCCAGAAACGTTCACCCCTCAACCCACATCATGCGCCTCTACAGGATGCCTCATAAGGACAAAAGGAAACACCAAGTTAAAAGGAGCAGAATTTCCTTGGTGAACCTATCCCAAACCAGGAGTTACGTGTAGCCACGATGCAGAGAAGGATGCAAAAGCCAAGGTTTGCTTTGCAAGTCGATTGCACAGAACATTGTCCAC